ATAATATATATCACGAGTATGATAAAGTAGGGCGAGTTTGGAGGTCGTTTTGTCTCTCTCTCTCTCTCTCTCTCTCTTGCGTGTGCTATGAAGCACACAAAAGGAAATAACGCTGATTTTAGACAATAACATTTTATAAATAGAAATCAACACAGTATTATAATCAAAATATGGCAATAAAAGATCTTAAATTAAAATTAGAAAGGGTCGAAGCAATTAATTCACAGAACCTTCAAGAGGCTAATTGATGAAGGCTTCAAGGGGCCCAAATAGGGAAATTTCTTTTAAAAATATGAGTAGAAGATTATGAAGATGGCACAGGGCCAGGACAGTTAGGAACAATTTCTTACTTAATCCTTAATTTAACCGATGAAAATAATGATATAACCGATGTTCCTTACGAAGAATTACTTCATAAAGACTACCGGGGTAAAGAATTTGTTATCAAAGATTTAAACATCGATTTGGTAAAAATTAAATTGGGTTGAGCAAACAATACTTTAGTAATTCCCAGAAATGCTTATTATAGTTTAGTTACTGACAAGGAAAATGCTTTGGACCTTAACAGCCTTAATCTGCCAAGCCCTCCTACTGATGATGCTATTGATAAAGCTAGCGACGACCAATTTGAGCAAATGCTTAAAGATTATGATGAATGAAGAACTAAAGATCCGATAGTTAGGGAATACAAGTTTTTTTTTGCTAACAGTTCTTCAAACGACACGTATTATGAACTTGAATATATACATGACTTGAATAATTATCTTAATAATAAAGGACCTTATGACCCAGTTACTAGAAATCTTCCCGGAGCACCTCTTGCAGCACAAAGTAACGCACCCAAAATTGTGTTTGTGCGTGCTGATGCCGACAAAGATACGAGCCAAGACCACCCAACTGAGGGTCGGAAATACACTCATAGAGAACTAAGAAAAAAACAATTAAAAGAAGCCATAAAAGATTTTGAAAATAGGATAAGACCTGCAAAAGAGCAGGTAGTGAAAAAGTGAAGACAAATACTTAGTGATTGAAGAAAGGAAGGAAATTTGACTGACTACGAACATAATGAACAAGTGACAAATTGGCAAAAATCATGAGATGAAAACCAGACTGTAAAAGAATATGATGAATTAGCCAGCAAGATAAACAGCGACAATAACTACAAAAAATTCAAGGACAATTTCAATGCTGAAATTCAAAA